TAAGCCCATCTTACCTTAGAGTACCTTCTACTCTAATATAGAATAGAATAGAATAGAATAGAATAGAATAATAGAATAAAACAGAACAGAATAAATTCTAAGGAGGTAGACTCTATAATTTATTTATATGCAAATTTTATAGGCTGCCCATCTTACATCAAAGTGCAACTCAGTTTGAGAAGCTTGAAACAAGGACGGACAGACTAAGTTGGGAGATCTACTTTGGTTTTCTTTTATTAGAAAAAAGAAAATTGCAAAAAGATTTACAAAGCAGGCTTAAATGAATTCGTTTTTCAAGTCCCAAATCACTGTCCTTCCAATTCCTCATTTGCTTTTTTTTCCTTTTTACTTCTGAGACCACAGGGGCTGGCTGAACTTCAACTGTTTCTCTCCCTGCAGGGAGAACGTCTATCCTGTGGCTATCTGGAGCCCCAGCCGATGGTTTTTCGGCAGTCTCAACAAGAGTAGGACTTGTCTCCCATGTGCATCTTCTCGTGCCTGATGAGATGCGATTTCTGCCGGAAGGTTTTCCCGCACACGCAGCAGGTATAGGGCTTCTCCCCCGTGTGCGTCCGCTCGTGTTGGCTCAGGCTGGACTTGAAGCAGAAACCTTTGCCGCACAACGGGCACCGGTACGGCTTCTCGCCCGTGTGAATCCTTTGGTGTTTAATAAGCTTAGAGCTCTCCTTGAAGGACTTCCCGCAGTCCGAGCAAATGTAGGGTTTCTCTTCCGAGTGGGACCGCTTGTGTTTAATGAGACTCGAGCGGTTATTGAAGCGCTTCCCGCAGACCAAACACTTGAACGGCTTCTCCCCGGTATGGATGATTTTATGAGCCATCAGCCACGAACTCTGACTGAAGCACTTGCCGCAATCGGAACAGGCGTAGGGTTTCTCCCCCGTGTGGGTCCTCTCGTGAGCCAGGAGGTTGGCTTTGCGGTTGAAGCTCTTCCCGCAGTCCGAGCACTGGTAGGGTTTCTCTCCTGTGTGAGTCCTCTCGTGCGTAATGATGTGGGAACTCTGGCTGAAGCTTTTCCCACACACCGAGCACTTGTAGGGTTTTTCCCCCGTGTGCGTCCTCTCGTGCTTGACCAGGTAGGAACGCTGCTTGAAATTTTCCCCGCAGAAGGAGCACTTGTAGGGTTTCTCTCTAACCGTGGATTTCTGGTCGTTAAAGGAGTCTGGGAGGGTGCTGGTACAGCCGGGGCCTTTTGCACAAAAGGAAGCCGCTTCAACCGCAGCTTCTGAATGGCTCCCCTCCTCGACCATAGAAATCCCAGGAAACTCGTACATGTTTTCCTCCAGCAAATCCCGGTTGAATTCCATATAGTCAGGCCTCACCATCCAACAGGTTGCCACCTTGGGCTCTGTCACTTCCCCGTTGCCTGTAAGAATTTTAAAAAAAAAAAAAAAGCAGCCAATGGATTACAGGAATATGAAAAGTAGCATATGCCGTTGGTTTGTCTGCTCATGTTCCCTAGAGCATGAAGCAAACCCCTTGTCCCGACAAAAACCCCTTTGATTAATTTACTGTGGATTCTGCTCCTTCACATCCAGCAAAATCTTTCAAGGGAGGATTTACTGTCGCAGACCAGAGGTGGGTTGCTCCCAGTTCAGCCCTGATCGGACGAACCAGTAGTAGCAGCAGCGGGAGGCTCCGCCCAATGGCCCGGACGTTCCTGCACATGCGCACCCAAACCAGCAGTAAAAAAAATTGGCAACCCACCACCATTGCAGACCTAATCTGGCTTGGAGAGCTGAAAGGCTGATATCTGTAAAACTTGGCAAGGAGTCTCGGAGAGTGCAAACTCCACTCCCCTTTCGCTCCTCTTTTATTTCCTCTGGGAAGGGCTATTCATGGTCCACTTGTGGCCTTACTTCCCAGTCAACCCTTGTTCCTTAGCTGTTCCTTTCGTCTGGCAACTCTGCGCATGAGCACACTGGGAACAGGCTCCAGCTGTTGGTCTGCCTCAC